AGACAGGGGATGAGGGTCGGGGCTGGGGTGAGAGGTGAGGGTCGAGACTGGGGTGAGGGATGAGGGTCGGGGCTGGGGTGAGGGATGAGGGTCGGGGCTGGGATGAGGAGTGAGGTTTATTCCTCATTTATGTCTATGTTCACTCACACATTTTTGACTGTTTTATAGCCATGAAAGTTCACCCGCTGCTTATATTGAAGAATATTCCTGCTTCATGCCTATGTTCTACACCGTCTAATACGAAGTTTTCATTTGTTTCTAAATAATGTTAGAATGTGGTTCAAGATTCAACAGAATTTCGTTGTAACGAGTATAAGTAAATTACCAATGCCTTAAACCATAGAACATTATACAATACAGCACTATACAATACAATATTATGCACTACATTACACACTACAACACCATACAATACATTATTACACCACACAACACATCATACACTGCACTATGGCTGACGACTAAGGCCCCGTGACAGTGTGGGGGGCAGCATCCCGCTGGTGTGGGCCTACACGTCAGAGTTCCTGCCCGCACGTCACCGCGGCCGCGCCCTCAGCGTCGTCGCTGCCTTCTGGATGGTCGGCAACGTCATCGTCGCTCGTCAGTTGAGGCCATACACGTCACTGAGGCCATACACGTCACTGAGGCCATACACGTCACTGAGGCCATACACGTCACTGAGGCCATACACGTCACTGAGGCCATACACGTCACTGAGGCCATACACGTCACTGAGGCCATACACGTCACTGAGGCCATACACGTCACTGAGGCCATACACGTCACTGAGGCCATACACGTCACTGAGGCCATACACGTCACTGAGGCCATACACGTCACTGAGGCCATACACGTCACTGAGGCCATACACGTCACTGAGGCCATACACGTCACTGAGGCCATACACGTCACTGAGGCCATACACGTCACTGAGGCCATANCGGGGCTGGGGTGAGAGGTGAGGGTCGAGACTGGGGTGAGGGATGAGGGTCGGGGCTGGGGTGAGGGATGAGGGTCGGGGCTGGGATGAGGAGTGAGGTTTATTCCTCATTTATGTCTATGTTCACTCACACATTTTTGACTGTTTTATAGCCATGAAAGTTCACCCGCTGCTTATATTGAAGAATATTCCTGCTTCATGCCTATGTTCTACACCGTCTAATACGAAGTTTTCATTTGTTTCTAAATAATATTAGAAAGCAGTTCAAGATTCAACAGAATTTCGTTGTAACGAGTATAGGTAAAAACATTATACAATACAGCACTATACAATACAATATTATGCACTACATTATACACTACACCACTATACGATACATTATTCAATACAGCATAATACAAATACAACTTTACACAATACAACACATTATACACCATACAATACAACACTATACAATACATTATACACTACAACACCATGCAATACAACACTATGCAAGTTCACAAGGAATTTAAAAGCAAAGAAAACGCCAAGAAAATTCACCATATCGATATTGAAAACGTTTCGGAGTCCAGCTCCATCATCAGTTCGACTAAACTAAAAATGAATAAAATCACTTTAAAAGTCAAAATTCAAAGACAGACATAAAACCTAAACAAGACCTAACATTATATCGNTAAAGTGAGCTGTCCACTCCATGCAAGCTTCTTGGTGGTTATAGTGAACATCGTTTTTATTTAGACTCCCAGCTGCTCCTTCGAACTATTTATTCAAACATATGTCCTGCGTAAAGGTACCATTAGGCCGTCATTAACATAATTATCATAATGCGTGTCCTTATGCTCGGGAATTTTCATTTTTGTTATGTAACTTTGCATTGATATGATTATGTCACACAATCAGTTACTTATCAGCATAACTGAAGGTGAGTCTCCTGAGACGATTCAGAGCACAATCAACAGACGTGTCGTCTGAGTGATGCACACTTAATGTACAATCGTGGCCAAAACTTTCGTCGCAAATGATATTTTTTGGATTATTCAATTATGAGGTCTAAAATAAGATCGGCATACGTCAAATATTAATTTTTAACTCGAACACAAAAAAAAAACATTAACAAGAACGTAATCCCACAGGAAAAATTCGAAACATGGCTAATTTCACCACGTATCAATATTTGCAGTACTGACCCCTATAACGAAGAATCTATTTTATTTTCTCAGGCAGGCTAGAAATATAATTCTGAATGATGATTTTATCAATTAAGTCCCATTCACGCAAAATCAAGTCCTGCAAGTCCTTTGTAGAAGTTGGTCCTTTGTAGAAGTCAAGTCCTGCAAGTCCTTTGTAGAACCTCTGTTCGAGATTGGCTCATAAATTTTCGGTATGGTTCAAATCTTGAGAATTTCCATGCTATGGTGTCAATTTTTCCATGCCTAAATATTTGAGAATCTTTTTGATAGCACCGGCTCCATGACAAGGAGCTCCATCGTGCTGGAAAATGCCGGAGTTCCAAAAAAAAACATAAAATAATATATATGGCAGGTTTGCTTTTTGCTGGAAGTACTGGGAATGGACCGCTCAACAGTGGGGGCAGAAGTGTCGCCATTGGAGAAATAGAAGAAATTCTCAGATGAAGTGTCCTTCAGGTTGTTTGGCACTTCTGGCAAAGTCCTTGCCAGGAAGAGAACAGGGTCTATAATTTCAAAAAAAGTTGAAATGTAGTAAGTTCATCAGCCAATCATTGACGGCCTTTCGAGCAAAATCCACCAATCATAGACAAGAAAATAGAGCGTAAGTACTTACGTTCACTTAGACAGTTTTGAAAGTATGGCCCTAGTTGAGCGCATCGCCGCATCAAGCCGTTATGTCTAGCGCGCACGGTGATGCATTCTTGCACTCTCCGGACAGGACTGCTCAGTTCAGGGAACAGGAGCACTTCATCTCCTTCCCACAAACACGTCAATTAATGCATTTTGGTACGAAAAACTTATTCTCCAAGACTTGATTCTCTCAATTTACAATCAGTTTTCTGCCCAAAATTGCATTTCCAGCTCGATGGAGCTTCTTAATTGTCATAGATCATGTAGCTTCTGAAAGATCTTGGCATTAATGAATTGACTCCATGGCCTGGAAATTTTCCGGATTTGAATACTATCGAAAAATTATGGGTCATTCTTGAGCAGAAGGTAAACACAAGCTAACTTCTACAAAGGACTTGATTTTTCATAAATGGAACTTTGTTGATATAAACATCATCCACAATATGATTTATATCATACCTGAGAGAATAGAAGAGTTACTTCGTAATTGGGGTCAGCTTTGCAAATATTGATA